TAGATATTTGTCTGTGCGAATTCTTTCCTTCATTTAATCATGATATCTGAATAAGTGATCACTTATAAATTCAAATTCGTTCCGTGTTATATCAGTTAAATGAATCAATGTTTTCCTTCCTTGCATTTTGTCATTATTATCATTAAAATGCAATGAAGATTTCGAAATTCAACTTATCAGACTTGTCGTCTCAGGTTTATATTAGGTGTTGCAGCTGTGACAATGGTATATGTTCGCAGCTAAATTCGTACGGTTGCTATTTACATTGTCGGTCTCCACGAATGTTTCTTAACCATTTTGAAAGACAACGGTGATTTTTTAGAGCGAGTCACGCAAACCATTTACAATCTACAGCGCACGATGCTTGTTGTATTGCAAATCTTCACAACACAACAACTTGTCCTCTGGGCCAGTCTGATTTCCGACTACCCTTAGCATTTGAAATTTCACTGCGCAATAAATGTAATATAATACGGGAGACCGGTAAAAGAACTTACAAGCTTCAGTAGGGCTCGCTAGAAAGCAGTTTGACCGTTCCTTGGAAAAGGTTTGCGAAGGCCAGAGGAACAGCCTGAACCCAGCATCCTAACCAGGTACTGAAAATTTGCAGATATGCATTTCATTGACTTCCGTGATATTGTAAGTCGCGTTCTGGAAAGGTGCACTTTTGCTAATTGTAACAATTGCGGCACAAGCAAATAAACATGGCTTGAATGAAAATGATCACACAGCACCACTTAACGCAACTCTTCGGCTCAAATTTTGTTCGCCTGTGATGGAGGTAACCAAATATCATTAAACTATTTGCGGAGTTCACCATCTTCGAACTTCTGGTATATGACTGAATTACCTTTTTATGAGAAGGGTTACATTTAAGAACAAACTGCATGTAGCTTTCCAATCAGGATGTGATTTATTCGCTATTGCTAACATCACATTTCGAGATATATCTCGTTTGGTCAATCGACGTTTTTCGATTTTATACTTGGAAAGCATGTTTACCCCCCCTCCCCGAATTTGTTCCTCCAATTATTGTTTTTATTCTTTTATAACTGATATAACACCACTTACACTTAGGAAAAAAGTGTACATTCGTGTTTTCTAAACGCTTATGGACCTTAAGAAGCATCACGCACAAATGACAGATATAAAGCATTCAATACTGACGAGCAATTCAATGAAACAAGTCAAAATTTTAAGCATTTGAATCACAGTTATATTTCAGAAAATGGTAGCCCCACAACTCCGACGTTGCCGGTATCAAGCCCGGTTGAGAAAGGAGGAAGGTTGAAGACCCAGGCGGTCTCGGTAAAAGTTCGCCACCTGCTACTCAATGGTATTGACGCCATCGAAAATTATATCGCCTTGGTCGTGGCCCGGGTAACCAAGGGTACCGCGCAGTCTGTTTCTGGAATGATGCAGACTGCTAGGCGATCAGAACCTGCTCATAGCCGTCTGCCAGCCGGAGGGCAGAGCAGCACAACAACGGCTGATGAAGATACTAGACAGCAATGGAGTCGCTATCCGTCCTGAACGGAGGAGACAGACAGCGCGATGCCACCATAGCACGTCAAAAAAGGCTCCACGAAAACGACAAAACTAGTGGCAGCCAACAGTCAGAAGTTGGAATAGATTCTCACTCAGACGAAAAGAACAGTAGTCAGTTCTTGAGGCCATAAAGCACCTACTCGGTATTGTTGGAGCCTTATCAATAAAGCGCCAAGGCTCTGGAATCCTGAACCTCAGCGGGTGGAAGCTATTCCACTCAGGTGTCGATATCACGACGTTCGTTCAGGACGGTGCCGGTGTTCTGGTAGAACCCAACCTTGCAAATAGAACCATTGATTGGAATCCTTTCAGCGGAAGGGTGGTAATCCTCCGACTGAAGCTACAACCTAAAGCGTTTACCTTCGTACAGATCTGTGCGCCCAATTTGGAAGGAGAATATACCTTCCTTGAGGAATTGCAGTGTGCTCTGTTCGAAGTGCCGAAAACAGAGTCCGTCATGCTCATGGGCGATTTTAATCCACGTCGGAGTAGACG